ATATCAAAAGTTGAAAAATTTATTAATATACGTGATCAAAATTTTATCAGATCAAAATAGAATATCCCAGGGACATTTTATATTAGTACAATGATAATTACAAATATCCTGAGGTAATCATATGGATGATTTAATGTTTTAGACCAGAATAGGATCAATCTGATCAAATTAGAATATCCTAAGGAAATTGATACTGTGGGAAACTAACTGACGATTACATGGTTGTCAACCATGTGGTTGTAAGGACTAAACATATACAGTTCGTCATTGAGAAGTGTTTTTATAACTTGTATTTCTACAGGATATCTGGAAATAATCGCCAAATATTTTATGGGCAGATAGAGCGGACTAAACTCAGTCGAAAAGTCCTCTACGAATACTACTGCGAAGTGTACAGGGTGGGCCATCTAGCATTTGGAATTTCAACTACCTTATTTTGAGTTTAAGAAATTGAGGTAAAGAAATAACATTTATGACGTATCAGAAATTTAGTTTTTTGTTTGACATTTACGAAATGGGTCGCTATACTCTTGAACAAAATTGGAAAATATTGAAAACTTACTTCCAAAGTGAGTCTTCAACCCAAACTGTAAGAAATTTACGTTGAAAATTTGGTAGAAAAGAAATGCTTTCAACGCAGTTTGTGGATCAATTTGTGAAGCGAATTCGGTAAACTGGATCCTTATTGGATAAAGCAACTCGTTCACGTGCTCATCCAGTAAGGTCAACCGAAAACATTGCTGCTGTTACTCAGAGTGTGCTTGAACAACTATCAACGTCAACTCGCCATCGTTCTCAAAACTTGAACATTTCACGCACTTCTTTGAGAAGAATTTTGAATAAAGACCTCGTTGTGAAGCCGTACAAAGTTCAATTAGTGCAAGAATTGAAGCCGCATGATCATCCGATGCGTTTTCGATTCGCCCAATGGGCTGAACAATGCTTAGTTGAAGAGCATTTTTACTGAAAAATCATCTTTTCTGAAGCTCATTTTCACCTCGGTGGCTATGTGAACAAGCAGAATTGTTGTATTTGGGGGTCAGAGAATCCGTCGTCATGGAGAAGCCGATGCATCCACAACGAGTTACTGTTTGGTGTGGTTTTTGGTCCGGCGGCATCATTGGGCCATTTTTCTTCGAAAATGAGCAAGGAGCTGCCGTCACTGTCAATGACGAGCGCTACCGCGCCATGCTAAATGAATTCTTGCTTCCCAAATTTGAAGAGGACATAGACATTTGGTTTCAACAGGACACCTTGTCACATAGCCAATGCTACAGTCGATCTTTTGCGCACTGTCTTCGAAAATTGCATAATCAGCCGAAATGCTGATGTCAATTGATTACCTCGCAGCTGCGATTTGACTCCGCTGGACTATTTTTTATGGGGAATCAAGGATGAGTGTTACGCTAACCAATCAGAAACGATTCAAGAATTAAAACATGAAATCAAAATTGCCATCGATGAAATACTCATACAGTGGAAAATGATACTCATACTGAAAAATTGATAGAATGGGGTATTGTGCAGCCAGTCGTGGAAGTTATTTGAATGAAATTGTATTTCATGTTTAATGACAATGTACTATCTTTCCAATAAAGCCATAAACTTTGAAAAATATTCATACTTTTTTTTTTAGAGCCAAATTAAATTCCAAATTTTAAATGGTCCACCCTGTATACGCCTACCGATCGCTTGGCGCGCGGGCCGCGGGAATAGCTTGGCAATGGCGCGCTATCCGAGCTCTGGAGGCTTGCGGCAGTGTGCGCGGTGCGGGCTTACCAGCCAATCCCCAACTCCCAAGACCTGCGCGCCAAGCGATCGGTAGGTACATACACTTCGCAGTAGGCCGGGCGAGCGTATTCGGCTATCTTTAAGGATTAATATCTTTTAACTATTGGGGAAATTTACGAAAATGGTAGAAGACTTTTCGGCTCAGTTTAGTCCGTTTTATCTATGAAATATTTGGCGATTATTTTCAGATATCCTGTACACATATGAGTAATATAATACTTAATATTAAAAAATGAATTAAATTAATTTTTTGATTTTTAATAATTATGATGATCATGATCTTGAAAGATACAAAAGAAGATCGCGTATAATTAGACAACGAATGAACTACATTGAAATATTTGACAAAGATTTCCAAAAAAGATTTATATTAGTAACGCAAACTTTTTTCTGTTTTCTTTCTGTGTTTTTATTATATTCCTGCGTAATGCTAATCATGCTTTATCTTTATGTAAATTATTTAAATAATCAGTGACTTTACTTTTAATTACATTACGGTATATAAAAATTAAATTCAATAAATTTTTTTCTTCTTGGTCAAATTTTTATCTCTTTGCATGGTTCTATTTAATATCTTAAGAATTTGGAAATTTTAAGCAATTTCGGATACACAGTAGTTACAAGACAATATTGATAGCACCATAGAAAGAAGTTAACAATAAAGATGTCTTTTTATGTTTATGCTGACGCCCGATGCATATTTTCAGTAGCAAAATAAGTCACGATCAAAATTGACGTTCGTCAATTTCTATCACGTGGCTTATTTTGGCTAACGCCAAAATGAGCGTCAAGCGTACCGCATCGGTACCGCAATGTAATTAAAAATAAAGTCACTGATTATTTAACCAATTTAGATTTGACATGATGAAACTGCTGTTTATAGTTCTCACGTTGGCAATGTAATGGTCGGTTAGCTTAAGGAGCATATATTGCGGATTATGCAGTTTTTGATAGATTGAAATTCTTATTCTCTGTTCTCTGTTTCCTTTTATTGCGCGGAGCCTCTAACTGAGAGTGCTATTACATGAAGCGCGGAAATGCGGAAACGCGGGAAAGCAAAAGACAAAATTAATTAAACTTTAGATTTTTGTGTTTTCGCGCGTTCTGTTCTGCCTGTTTTGATCTTCTAAAATTGTAATATTAAAGCTCTGCTCTACTGCTGCAAGTTCTGTCCGATTGGCTTCCGCTTTTCCGCCAAGATGTGAACTCGGCCTTAAAATCCTAGATTTATAAGAGAAGCGCAACCGACTTGTATCGCGAAAGTATTAAAAAGTACTGG